GGTGAGGGTTTCGCCGAAACCGTCGTCCTTTGACTGGGAGAAGGGAAAATTGTAAAAAATTTGCTCGGCGAGGAGTCCGAAGAGTTAAGAGAAACGGGTTCCCTGCAGCTCCAAAAAACTGTGTGGGAAAATGTGTAGGCTTTTTTAAAATAAAGGTTGTGCCAGTCTAAGGAGCAGCAGGTTCCCTGCACCTGTGCATGATAAGGCTGGTCGAGATGGTTGCAATATCTCTTCTTGACCCAGAGAAATACAAATAACACTAATTACTATAATAATAGTTGTTTAAAACATATCTCTTCTCTCTGTATTTATTCAAGAAAGTTGGAGAGGGCACAAGAGTATCTACCATGATCATTCTAAAGGCTCAAGTTAAGAAGACAAGACTACTGCTCAAATGCAGTATCGTGTTCTGAAGCAGCTGCAGATTGGCTGGTCACCGGCTGAGAAACTACTCATTGCAGTGTGACACTGTGAGGTAAAAACTGCATTTGTTGCAGTAACAGTGTAGGACAATGTTGGAAAATACATAGTATAAGGTACGAGAAAGCACACACTGTGTGTGTGGTGGCTTTATTTTGGCCAGCACTTGCGTTTGATCACCTGTCGCCTGGTCATCAGCCGTATGATGTTGGTCCATCACCTCCTGCTTTTCAATGTGACAGCTGCTATCTGATGTTGGTCCACCCGCTGCTGTTCCATGGTGAGCTGTCATCTGCTGCGCCGTTGCGTCCACTTGATTTCATGAAGTAGTAGTCAAAGTGGTCACCTGCTGGCTGATGTCGGTCCAAAAGCTGATCCTTGCGTGGATGCCACAACCATCCACAACCATAATGATTTCTTGGAGAAACGTTAGCCTTCATGCTTGGAGTATAGCATCTTGCGTCAAAGCAAAGTCTTTTGATGCCATGGCCATGACGATTAAGCTCACAAAAGCCTTCTCCAACTTTCTTAGTTTAAAATATATAATATATATTGTATCGCTATGTCACTAGGCTGTTTTAAACCTAGCTTTGTTGCAAAAGCTGTGGCAAGTTTTGCGCATGTTGACTCGCATATGGCCTGATAGGTCCAACATGGTCTAACCATAAGGAAACCAGGCCCTTTCAACAACACGTATCCTAGCCCGGCCCGCTGCAAGCGGTGTTTGGCCTCCAGTCCAAGTTCTGGCTGTGGCCTCAGCCGTTGCAGGTGGTTGGGCACCATCACTTCGGTGAATGCGTGTCACATGGCCCTGGATCGGCCAGAGCTGTACATGTTTCGGCGGATGCAACTTGCCGAGCAAGCAGCACTGAAACAAGCTCGAAACCCTCTTCAGAAAACGATGATTTTCCATGCCAGAGCCCTGGCGTTGCAGGACAGCCCGACATGTTTCATAATTGGTTTGAAGTTTCAACAGTAAGTACCAGAAAATGCCATTCCTCTCAAAAAAAGAAGCAATGACACGAACTCAGTTGGTTGAACGGTGCCACAGTGGCAGGCTGCTGACCCTTCCTTGGTTTACAAAGACAGCTTCCTGAAAGCGTGCGAAGAGTACAATGCGTTTGGCAGCGCTGTCAGCAACAAGAAGATCAGGGTCGAACAGAACTTAGCTGTGAAATTGTATGGGCTGAAGGACCGCCACCTTTTGTCAAATGGTGTGATCTATTAAATTATCTATGGGTCAGGTGTTGAATTTAGGGAAATATCATAGAGTCTAGTTCTAAAATATTCCCTACAGGTGGGGCTTTGCGACGACGTTTGGACTGACATAGAGCGGCACCTGCATGTCTACCGCATCGAGCGCTCAGGTCCGGGTGTTGAAAAACACATGGCAATGGATAATAGTAGGTGCTTTGGGGTTGTTCCCAATAATCATATTGGTTAGAGTTGTCCTCTTCTCTTCAATCTTTGCTCCCCCTTCAGCCTTTGGTCGTGATCACCTACTTTCAGAACGATGGTTGCTGGGAAGCACTTCTAAGTCAGCCGACGGCATTTGGACTGAGATCATGCAGGTTGACCAGCACAAACAAAAGCTGTTCATCAACCGGGTGATGTTCCTCCACAGCTTAGCAGTGGGCAGGGTCTCTGTGCAAACTACCACTGCTGTCAGACTCACAGCGTCGCAGTGGGAGGCAGAGGTTGAGTTGGCTTGCGCAGGGGGCTACGTCATGGACAAAATGTCACAGGCCAGAGATGCAGAGAACAAGCCCGTCTTCAGTGAGTCTGTGATCAAGAACTGCTGGGGGCGTTTCATCGAAGGGTCCCTGGTCAAAATCCTAGCTGTACTTATTTTTTTCTGAGTGGAAGCCTTTAAGATTTGGGAACTTACAGGTATTTAGCTGGTATTTAGAGAAACCTTCAGTTATGTTACATTCGTATGATTTGTGGTCTATCTGAGGGACTTCGTGGATGACCTGAGCACCCATGTAGCTTCAGCTGACCCGACCTTTGACCCATGTCAGTCTTTGATGTGGATTGAATGCAGCCCTGAGAAGAAGGAGGCTGGGCTGGTGGACTCTGCCCTGGGGATGACAGAGAAGAAGATCACGAAGTTGGAGTCTGCTCAACATGTTGCAGCATGGGAATCCGATACGCTCAAGCTAGCTAAGGATGCAACAGTGTGCGCAAAGCTTCTGAAACAAGCTGTCAACAATGAACGCACAGATCGCCTAGCGAGGATCACCCACATTAAGGAGCAGAACAAGATTGGTGCTGGAATTGTGACATCCTTTGCCGCAAAGAACTGCCACCATGTGACCCTAGCTTGCCCTGATGCAGAGGGGCAGCTCTCGGAGGATACGGGTTGTCCAACACCCTTCTCTTTCCTCACTCATGGTATGTTCAAAATGGTATATGAGTCCCGGGTGAATTGTTTTGACATCGCGCGGCGTTATGTTCGAATGTTTTTGACACCCTGCAGTTTCTCTCTGACGTCTTTTCTCACCATGGCATTGTGCTTGTATGGGTTGACATGATGAAGCTTGGGCGCATCCAGAACAAGCAGTTGGATGACCTTGCGAGCCGAGTGAAGAAAGTGCTAAGTCGCAAATCCTCGCATACCATGGCGTTTGTGATGGCGCCGCATGTTGTGAGTTCTAAAACCTTGAACTCCAACATCCGTGGAGAAGTCAGGCCGGTCATGTCCAAGTGAACTGTACTCACTATTGGGATAGGTATCATATGGTATCATCATTTATCCAGTGAACTTTCTATCCAAGCCCAATTAAATGACAGGTTAGCTTGGTTTGGGATTGCCTTGACACTGCCGTTGAATCAGGCGTATCGAGGACAAGTTCGATGCAAAAGGCATGGTATCGTACCCGGTATCCGTACGTTGCAACCCTCCACCCTCGGCTAAGCGGGTACCAATGCAGTACCCCGGATGGCTTGTCTATTGCGATGGGGCGGTGGAAGACAGCTTGTGGAGTGCGTGCCAGCTTATGTCAGACAGGACCCATCCCAGTTCTTATGGTTCTGATTCCTTCTAAGGGTTTGTCCTATCACCACTTAGTAGTCATAGGACACCACTTGGCAATCACTCATAAAGTCTTAGTCCAACTAATCCAGAAAGAGAACCCCATCTTCCTGTTCCTCTCTTTGGTCATGTTCTGCAGGACCACAAGGATGTGTGTACCATTTGCATCGGAATCCCAGTATGTGGTGCCAACATCTGGAAAGGATGCGCTACCGTTGGCTGCTGAAGGCCCTCGGTGCCCCAGCAACAACTGGCAACATTTTTCGAACAACAATTAGGTTGAAGTTGAAAGCAGTGGGTTTGCTGTGACAAAGTTTAACTTAAAAATACTTTTGGACCAGTGATTGGAAAGTGGTGTCTCTCACTATGCTCGCTGAGGTCGATGAGCGATGTCCAGGAGTCCGCGCAAATGCTGGCAGGGGAGGATTTGCCCAAGACCATCATCGAATCTGTCCTCGCGGGATTCGAGCGTCCAGCAAATCTGGTGGGAATTGTGAACGTAACACCATACGATGCACACCTCGAGTCGGTTGCTGTCCACTGGCAAATTGCACATGGCAAAGACTCTCCATTGGTTCGCTCGTTCTCCATTTCTGACCAATGTGAAGAAGTTTTGTTCAGCCAGCGTCGTCTCGGAAACAAGCTGCTACAGGAGCTGTGATTTGATGTTATCAAAATTATTCAGATCTTTCTTGTGGTAGAGACAGTAAAGACTGAAAGATACTGAAAGGAATATTCCCCGAGATTAGTCATACATGTGACACCTGTGTCTGAATGTGTCCTAAGCTATCTAACACCCCTGACCAGGAATGGAAGAGTGGGTCGCCTCTCTTTGAAGGCTTTCGCAAGTATGATCCTGAACTGGACCAGAAAACGGAAGTGAAATTGGATGAGTTTCCCCTTCGGTTTTGTCATGTGACCCAAGACACCTCAAAGAAGGGTACTGACCAGTTTACATTCAGTTTGCCTCATTCTGTGCGTGTGCTCTACATGAACGACCCTCTCAGAGCTGAAGAATGGAAAAAGCTCATCTCAGACTTCGATGATAAGTTCCTCACATTTTACTAGGTTGTCTTTCTTTGTATGTCAAAGCTATGTAAGGAATGTTGAATCTTATCAGGCACCCCCACAAAACAAAATTGAGCCAACCCCCATCAATTTCCATGTATGCAGCTTGGTCCTCAGGTTTCACATCGGCAAGGTGGAGCAAAGCATCGTTCCTGTTCCTACGGAACCAGAGCGGGCGGTGGAGCCCTGGCGGAATGAGCCCAAGGACTTGAATGAGCTCTTGGAGAACTACATCATCGAAAACAAGTTCCCATCGTCAATAGCAGGCGGTATGCTCTACTTGACAAGGTCTGAGACTCGTTCAGGAGAGAAGATCGATCTCATCGATGACCAGAAGAGCAAACTATTTTTTGATCCTTGTCTGCGCATCAGTTGGGGCTCAGCCCATACAACATGTGTCCACTTAATTTCCCTGCTCCAGGACTAGTCCAAGGAAGTCTTGCATGAGTGTTCCAAGTCAGTGATATAATATGATGTTGTCAAAGGCAACTATTCTTTTTTGTTTCAGTTCCAATCATGTTCCAAGCAAAGGTTGCCCACATGGACATCTCCCTGGGTGAGAACGAGAGCGTGATCTCGCATGGAAAGTCCAAGTGGCTGAACCATGACAAGATGGCCAAGTTCCTACGCGAAGGCTGGAACCTCGGGGTCTTCCTTTTGATCGCCCAAGTTTTGGATGATGCATGGATGATGCCTCATCATCTGACTGAAAGTTAAAGCCCTGTTTTCTTGAATGCCCCTGGGTATTTCCACCACATGTGAGAAGACCCAACAGGTTAATAACAAAAACTCCTTCTGTGGCAGTCTTAAGCTTGCAGCCCTCTCACACCAAGTGCTAACTCGCCCTTTCACATCGTCCTGTCCAAAGATTGCACCAAGTGATCGCCATGTCCTTGGAGCAGCTGCTGATGTCTCATGGACTTAAAGCGGACCGGTGGGCTCAAACAATCAAGATGGTAAGTCTTTAAAACAACCATGGTAAGTACATGTAAGTACTTATTATTTACCAAAAAAAGGTTTTATCATCTGTGACATCAGCGTTACACAATAAAGTGGTTGCCGTCAATGTTGATTGTAGGTTTGCTTCCTTCTGGCTTTGCTTGCTCTAATCTCTACTGCATTCTCATTTGTGCTGCCTGCTGCCACCAGGACATCGATCAGCTTTTGAACAACAGCCCTGAGAACCTTGTGACTCCACCTACGCGAGAGATTCCCGGTCGTTCTATGTCAAGGAACTCCGCAAGTTCGGCATTGACTCCAACTGCTCCTCAATCCTTGCCTTTGCATTCCAGTTCAACGCGTGGCAATCCGCCATTGGATGCTGAAGCCAAGAGATCTTTGGCCATAGACTTGGAAAAGGCCAGGGGCAAGTTGAAAGAAGACAAGAACGCCGCAAAGAGCGCAGTGAAAGCCATGAGAGCAGGGTTGAGCAAACCAGGGAAGTCGGATGGACTCAAAGACAAGGCTAAGGGTGGACGTGGACGTGGACGAGGGAAGGGCCGTGGCCGTGGCAGAAAGGCCGCAAAGGAGACAGAGGAGGATGAGATGGACCTCCAGGAAGAGGAGGAGGAGGAGCAGGAGGACGAAGAGATGAACAAACTCCAAGAGATGCTGGAGGGGATCGAAATGCAGACAGGTGGTCAAGACGTGGACTCGGAGCAGGAGGAGGAGGAGGAGGATGAAGTGCTTGAGGATGAGCCCAAGAATGGGAAGGGGGCATCTGGTCCGAAGAAAGCCACCAGAAAGAAGAAGGAGCTGACCTTAAAGGAAGTCGAAAAGCAGAAGAAAATGCAGGAGAACAAGAAGAAGAGACAGGACAAGTTCAAGGAATCTGTTCGCAAGATCAATGCAAAAGCTGCTGCTACATCCAAGGAGTTGAAGAAAAAGTACAATGAAACGCAGCAGAAGTCGAACAAAAGGGCAAGACCGGCAACCGCCAAGGGGGACGAGGACGCCAATCAGGCTTCAGCTTCAAGTTCAGCTGCTGGCCTCAAGGATGCGATGCACAAGCACATCAAGGAGGAGAGCGACAAGTTGAAGAAGCAGGGCATGTCTGCTAAGGAGGCTCTTGCAGCGGCTCGCAAGTCGTACTTTGGCTTGATTTGAATTTAGTTGTCTGCTGATATTTGTTGTGATGTCTCTCTTGTCGCTATCCAGTTGGCTTGTTTTGCAACTTTCCCTTTGAATGTCTTTTGCACTTAGACCTTCTGACTGTCCTGATTACTCCTGCCTTTCGATAGCCCTTTCACCGTGAGGTGGCTGTCGAATCCCATTCGTGTGGATGCCTTCAACAAGATGTCCAAGAGTGAACGTGCCCGGCGCCGAATGAAGTGAGAGGGGGGGTTCTTGAGATCACTGCTGGGCTTTGGCTACTGCCCTGAAGTTGTTCCTGCGTATCGTCAAGTTTCTATCATAAGTTAATCCTGCTTCTCGAGGGCTTAACCTTAGTGAAGCCTGCAGTGATCAAATCCATATGTTGTTCATATCATGAACAATCTGCCTTTCTGCGTCGAGTTCGTGCTTCGAACTCCTACGCCTAGTATCAGAGTTAGGAGGCTGCACTGCAGCGTTGGGGAAAAAGAGGCCACAAATCGAAGTATCCTATGGACACATCAATCTTGAATCCCATTGATTCCAATCTTGAAGCCCTCCTGTAATTTCGTGTAGTTCACCAATTCATTCACTCCCCAATTATTCTGGGATCTACATTTAAACCTTGAAGAAAGAGAATTTCATAGAGAATCTATCATTAAACATTGTCGCCTAAAATACTGACAGAATCTCTCAACATCTTACCCCAGGAACCTCTCAAAAGCTACTACATTCCAGCTTGACAGGTGGGAGCCTTGACCACGTCTGCAGATTCGAGCTCTGCCATGACCAGGAACTGGTGGTGCTTGAAATCTGTGCAGAGGGAAGCAAAACTATGAAGGATGCCGCTCCTACAACTCTCAGGTCATTGATGGTGGAGATGGAGCAAGCTTCAATTGTGGACGCTACCCTTTGTTGTCATGAACTCGTTCGGCTTTCCCCCATGGAAGGCGATGAGTGTTGAATGGTGTAGTAGGTAACTAACCGTTGGCACATTTGTTATATCGAATATATTGTACATAATATATATGATATAAATATATCATATATTATATATTAAAATACTTGACTGATTCTCCCTCATCATCTCACTGCCCTTCATCCAGGCGGCGACGACGAGACAGAGGATGGGTTCCAGGTGAAACCAAAGGAGAAGAAGGTGAGCGTGCAATGGACCCCCACGACTGGCAATGTGAAATTTTCCACTGTTGCCAGTTGCTTTTCCAATGAGGCGCTCCATTAAAAAAGAAGTTGTTTTAGAGCAGGGACCAAATGACTGTTTCAAGTGAGTGTTCTTTAACACCCTGGGGTCTATTTCGTCAATTGGCACTCAGTCAGGTGCTCATCAAGAGCCGTACTCTCTTCCGTGCGTGGAGGGTGGGATACGTTGAGGCTGAGAACGAGATATCGCCTCGCAAACCGCTCTACTTTTGGCGGGACAACTACAAGGGCATTCGTTTGTCCCAGAACACTTGCCTGAGATTGCTCTAGCCATCTCTAGTCCGTGGAAGAAAAATCAATCATTCTCACCATGTGTGACCTTAGGGCTGGGGAAAGCCATGGACGCACTCTTGGTGACAAGGAGACCTGACCGCCCGAAGGAAAATTGAGGTCCGCACTCTGTGGAGCTCTCCGGACAGTGGAGGGTTTGCTTTGAGCAAACATGGGCTGCTGGGGTGGTGGATGTGGGATTCGTGAACCATCGCCCATAGAACACTGACATGTTTAGAAGGTTCCATAAACCTTGGTTCAGACACTCCAGTCTCTTTTACTTTTATTGTCTTTAATCTCTCATGCCTGATCCCTTCTTATTCTTAAGCCTCAAGTCTTTTCAATTCATGGGTTCTTCGCTGCGTAGCTCATGTGAGCCATCCCATCTCAACAACCACATGCAATGAAACTACCGCCAAATGTAATGAAATCTCCTTACTAGAATACAAAAGACACACAAAAAAAATAGACGATAAGCGCAACTCTTTGTTTAACGTTGTTTCTGAAGACCTCTCTGCAGAAGTTCTTGCCATGATTTTTGCACCAAGAGTGAAGGGCTCGGCCTCCGGAACCTGTACCCTAGTAGCGTCCTTGCTCCTAGTAGCGATGCCACGAGCCCCTAGTAGCGTCCTGTACCCTGTTGTGACACCGGACCCAAGGATCATCGGCGATCGACGGCGACAGATGAAGAGGTCAGGAACGGATCCGACGGCCCACGCGGAAGCTCCAAAAGCAGAGGACTTACATTAAGTACTTTGGTCCATTTAGACCTGATTAGTATAGGTAGGCTCTGCGTGGGGAGTCCATGGTCAAAAGCTCCGGTTTGGGGTTTGGAAGAACAACCCGATTCTCAGAACACAGGTCCAGCAGTTGTCCCCATCTTCGGCACATTGCCAAGTCGCGGCATGGTCCGGTCCTCAGCTGGACCTACCTCAGCTGGATCCGCCGCCGTCAGGTCCTACGGGAACGCGATGTCTTGGAGCAACAGACCACCTGCTGGGCGTGCGAAGGTGTCTTTTTCGGGAAGCGGCCCGAAGAAGGGCCAAAGGGAAAGGTGGAGGCCACGTGTACGTACGTTTGTGAGTGTGTGTGTACCCCTTGGACTCACAGGGCTCCTTTCAGAGTTGTCTGGTTATTTTCACGTTTATATTTGCACGGGGACACGGGCTTGTCACCCTTTGTCTCCTTTCTTTTTGGACATTGTGTCTCCCTTCTGTCTCACTTGTCTCTGGTCTTGTCTCCCTTCTTGTTGGTCATTGTGTCCGCCTTGTCTCCCTCCTGTCTCCCTTTATCTCCGGTCTGGTTTCCCTTCTTGTTGGTCACTGTGTCCACCTTGTCTCCCTTCTTGTCTCCCTTCTTGTTGGTGACAGTGTCCGCCTTGTCTCCCTTCTGTCTCCCTTTGTCTCCAGTCTTGTCTGCCTTCTTGTTGGTCACTGTGTCCGTCTTGTCTCCCTTCTGTCTCCTTTTGTATCCTTTCTTGTCTCCCTTCTTTTTGGCCTTGTCTCCCGTCTGTCTCCCTTCGTCTCCGGTCTTGTCTCCCTTCTTGTTGGTCACTGTGTCCGGCTTGTCTCCCTTCTGTCTCCTTTTGTTTCCCTTCTTGTCCCCGTCTTGTTTGAGGCGGACACAGCAGTTCAGAGCTGGGAGACAAATGCAAAGGATTGCAAGGCAGAGGTTGGCACCGCGCAACAAGAAGGGAGACAAAAGGAAACGGTAGGGAGACAAGCCGGACACAGTGACCAACAAGAAGGGAGGCAAGACGGGAGACAAGAAGGGAGACAAAAGGAGACAGAAGGGAGACAAGGCGGACACAGTAACCAACAAGAAAGAGACAAGTCCGGAGACAAGGCGGACACAATGACCAACATGAATCCTTTACATGTGTCCCGCAGCTCTGTCCACCTTTGCCTCGCAATCCTTTTCATGTGTCTCCCAGCTATGGGCTGCTGTGTCCGCCTTTGCCTTGCAATCCTTTGATTTACATTTGTCTTTTGCAATCCTCTGAATTTGTCCCCAAGGTATCCGCCTCTGCCTTGCAATCCTTTATTTGTCTCCCAGCTCCGGGCTGCATGTCGCTTGCAATCCTTTCCATTTGTCTCCCTGTGTCTACATTTGTCTCCCGGCTCTGGAATGCTGTGTCCGCCTCTGCCTTGCAATCCTTTGCTTCCCAGCTCTGGACATCGCAAACTCTAGTTGCAGAGTGTTCCGTTGTTGAAAAACACAAACTGTTTGCGGTCTACGGTGGTGTAATTAAACACATTAGACACATATGAAATCGGTAGATCTCTGGGGGGGTACCTTATATACATAATTATGTATACACACACACACTTTCTTCAGTGCTTTTCATATTGACGTTTCCGTACTTTGCAGCATGGGCCCTTCCAGGAATGATGGTGCTTGCGTGTTTTTTCACTATTTCTAGAAAACACATGAATCGGGACACATATAATACAGTACTATATAGAATCTATAGTCAACTGCTTTGGTCTAAGCCTTGGCCAACTGTTTTCAGAGTTGTTGCGGTATTTAGTGGCCTGCCTTTGGTGGTTATGCATTGAAGAGGTTTTTTGGGGGAGAAACGGTGGTTTTGTCTGTACATGTGCGCATGCTGTTGTCAAGTTATGTTGTTTGTGTTGTTGTGAAATCAGCAGTTTTGTCGTCTCTCTACTTACGTCAGGAATACTTCCTGGGAAGCAACCATGCCAGATTAAGTGTTCAACTATAGGTCCTCATAGGCACCAACCATCTGTTTTCGGTGTAGAAACTGGAGCACCAGGTTGTTGGGCTAGCTCTTCGGTCTGGGCCAAAACAGGAGAACCAGCTGGCTCTTGGGTCATGTTGGCCGCTCCAAGTGTTGTTGGCCGAAGTGACCAGCTAGCTCCAATACATTGTCGAAAGGCTGAACAGACCGATACTTGGATATACTTGGATTATATATGCGTCCATTTAATGCCAAAAGTGCCTCCAGATGTTCTGTTCTTTATATTTCCATGTGTCACCTCCAAGACCCCCTAGTCAAGCAGCGAAGTGGCTGGTGACAACGCCCGTGGTTCAACCGCTGGAGGCTGTTTAGGGGCTCCTTGTGTTGTGTCCAAGTCCTCAAAATGTTTGAGCGTAAATACATAGTTGTTTTTTTCCCTTGCTCGTGTCGTGTTGACATAGCTGCTGCTATGTAAAGTGTGACTCTTGCCATGAGGTGGCCCACGGTGGCATCATGTCGCTTAGATTTTACCCTGCTTCACCGCCAGATGTAGGGTAATGTTTGTTTATAGATTTAATGTACAGTATACTCTCGTGTTTTCGTGGCGGTAGCGCAGTCTATACATTCATTTTGCCTCGCTTTGTTTAGGGCCCTGACCTGCAAAATGAGGTTCTCCCGGTAGTGATTTTGAAACCCTTTGCTCGTTCTTCGACTACCAAGTACTTTTTGCTTGCTTGCGGTCTGAGTGATGAGAAAGCAATTAGCAAAACCCAGCCCTCCCTCCCCACGCTCCCTTTCTCAAACACCCAGTGTCGCCGATCGCAAATAAATTTAGAATGATGTATCGTGACACTCATCACTTGACAAGCTGCCGCAGACCGACCAAGACCGAACACTATTTTTCCTGTGCGGCCTTTCATTGCCGCCTTTGATGCTGCTGCTCGTGCCCCAGTGCAGCGACAAAGTGCATCCTATATCACCAGCGGCCTCACACCAAGCACGCAGACCTGTCGCGCGAGCAGCGTGACAAAGAACTTGGGCTTAGCTTAACGACAGCTGTCAGCTGTGAGTTGCACATGTTGTGCAAGATTGGGCCTTCTTGCTGGTTTTTGCTGCGTCAAGGTAAGCCAGTAAGCCGTTAAGCAATTAAACCCATTAAAGAATGCGGCACAGCCTTGCTTCCGCACACTTTCAGGCCAGACGCTGCTGAACACAGCTTATACCTTAGCTTGCAAGATCTAGAACCCCCCAGCCGTTCCAAGAAGGGCAGTTTTGTCAACCACTTCGGAGTCCCGTTTCTTGCGCATCAGGCTGGGAGCGCTTGGAACTGCGCTGGGCCGTACTTGATGGAGAGCCCGAACCGAAGGCCTCGTTGCCGCAGCGCGGTCGGCAACGGGGAATGACCTTTTCGGGGCAGTGTCTTCAGCACAAGCGGATCAGTTACAGAACATCATTAGATATTCTTGACAACGAAATCCTTGACCTTCCATATTGTATTACTTTTTGTGCGCTTGGCACTTTTGCACGATCGGCGCGGATGAATAACTTCAAGTCGCTTCCAAGATAACTTCCTTGGTCCGTTTTCTGCCCCTACAATTATGTTGTACAAGTTCTGCAATTTGTTGTCTCCCTCAAGTTGCACAAAGTCTGTTCAAGTTATCTCAAGTTAAAAATTCCCGATTTGTGCATTTGTTCAATGATATTTGCGCAGTTGTGCTGAATATTTGCGCAATTTTTTGTGCGGGGTCGGTGGTTTGGATCGTGTCTGTTTGACAAAACAGGGTCCACTTTGTTCTTTTGTTTTCATTGTTGATGTGCAAATGGCAATATTATGTGTTGCTTGATTTGTTTTTTGTCATTTTCTTGGGTTGGATTCAAAGGCATCCACGGAACAACATGTTATGGATCAACTCTCTCAGGATTCCGTTGATTAACACATGTTTGCACATTTGATCAATTTGATCATGCAGGAACGGTTTGTTTGGTATTTTGTTTGACTGTGGCTAAGTGAGATGCATTTACTGCCAGTGATGATGTTTTGTTTGGAAATGACCGTCTTGCAATATGGCGTATGTGACAAGTATTTGTGCAGCTTGCAAATTTAACATCACAAAACCCAGCGGGACCCAGCGTTTCAATGTTGTTGTTTCACAGTCAGTTGTTTTTGAATATCATATGTCAGTATTTTTTGCAAAAATGTTATGTATATGTTACATGTATTCGGTGAGCAACTCAACAATGGTTCATCGTGTTGTTTGACTCTTAAAGCCCACTTCACCGAGAAATCCACGGGGTGTTG